CTGTTATACAAAGTGTTGGTTCTTTTAAACAATGTCTCATGTCACTGCCTATTTCTTGGTCTTCTTTTTCCACTAAAATCAGGTGATTTTTAAGCAGTTCCTTTGCCCTTTCCCGTGAACAATCTCGTCCCCCTGCAAGCCCTTGAGTATCTTGAGTTTGGTCTCCATTTTTACTTTTATCTTGGCTTGCATTTTGGTAGCTTTCCACAAGATTACTACAGGCAGTTTTAACTGCCTGGGTAATTTCTCTCACCAAGAAGTTTTGAAATTGTTCCCAGGTGAGGGTTTCAACTATTGTATCTTTCTCAGCTGCTCCCAATTCCATAGCTCCATATACTTGTAAACAAAGTTTCAATTTTCCAAAGTCATTTTATATAATTCTTTTAACTTATTGCTTTGTTGCTTTCCATCAATTTCTATTCATAACAAACAATTGCAGTTCATACAGGACAAAAAAGTTTTTCTTATCCCCGCCATTTTATAACAAATTTCATTCCAGGTCATTTCGCGGCCGCTTTCTCATGATTGGAAATATCTGCTGGGGGCATTAAGATCCAAAATTCTTCAACCTTCTCTTGTTTCTATGTGTATAAATCTCTTCTGCGATGTGCTAATAGTGCTCTCCTCAATTGTAAGTCTCACAAAAATTTAAACGCGGATGGTTGCGGTTTGTTGGAACATGGCGCCCATGTTCCATCCGTAGAACGCTCCCGCCTCAGAGCAGTCACGGACACCCCCCGCTTGCCAATATATGGGAGGGGCCGCGATAAAGCCCCCTGCCCTAGACCTCTCTCCGGGAGGTCTAACGAAGCCCACCCGATGACTGGGGGACTCCAAAAAGAGCGTAAAAGGAATCAGGCATCTCCAAGCGACCGAGAATCCGCCCGTCGCCGCGCCATACCCGGAAGTCAATTCTTATCACATGACTGTTGAGTTTACTTATGAGCCTTGATGAGGAACTTTATCAAAAGCTTTCTGGAAGTTTAGTTAAACAACATCTACTGGGTCACCCTTGTCCACATGTTTGTTTAGAACTCTAAAAGGTTAGTTAGACAAAATCTCCATCAATAGCTTTTGTTCATCAATGTGTCTACTAACTATAACTTTAATAACAGATTCCACCAACTTACCTGGGATTGACGTTAGACTGACTGGCCTGTAATTTGTTGGATCTCCTCTGGAATCTTTTTTAAAGATGGAGGTTAAAATTGGCTACCTTCTAGTCCATGGGAATGGAGGCAGAGTTTAGTGATAGGTTGCATATTTTTGTCAGGAGATCCACAAGTTCATATTTGAGTTCTTTCAGAACTCTTGGATGTATGCCATCTGGGCCTGGGGATTTGTCAGTTTTTTAATTTGTCCATCAGTTGTAGGACCTCTTCTCTCATCACCTCAATCTGACTCAGGTCTTTCAAACCCCCCCCCCCCAGCATTTCTGGAGTGGGCTAGCACTTGACCATCTGAAGCAGCTGCATTGACTTACACTGTGCAGGTGTAAAGTATTGTGGCAAAGTATTGTTTTCCCCCCACCACAGAGTATGCTTTTAAAACAAGCTTTAGCCTATATCTTATTGGATTTGTCCGTGCCTTCCTCCACTGTTGCTCTAGCCATCTTCCCTGTCTCTTGATTGCCTGTAGCCCCTTAGTAAAGCAAGGGTTAGAAAGTCGGCTGCTTAGTGGGCTTGGCTTAGTGGGCTGCTAGGACCCATCGTGTCAACTACTCGGAAACAAGCTTTAGCCTATATCTTATTGGATTTGTCCGTGCCTTCCTCCACTGTTGCTCTAGCCATCTTCCTTGTCTCTTGATTGCCTGTAGCCCCTTAGTAAAGCAAGGGTTAGAAAGTCGGCTGCTAACTCACCTTAGAGGGAACACTGGCTAGGACCCATCGTGTCAACTACTCGGGCCATTTCCTCATTCCAGAGGTAAACCAGGGCATCAACAGAGAACTCCCCTAGAGCTGTCAGAAAGCCATTTGTGTCCATGTGGCTCCAGGGGTGAATCCCCTATGCTCCTATGCTTTACCCTGCAGAGTTTTGGTGTCTCTGTAAATGTAACCCCATGGCAAAGGAATCATCATCACTTCCTTTACCTTCAGTTAAGCTCCTTTTTGCCCTTAACAGGTTGAGAGTGTGACCTGCACAGTGTGTGAGACTAGTTATCTACTGAGACAGATCCATGGTTGTCAGGGATGCCATGAAATCATGAGCTGCTCCTAGTAAGAAAGCCTTAGCATGAATGTTGAAATCCTGCGAGTCAACCAGTGTAGGGGTCTTAAACACCCTCCCAAGACTACCTCCATCAGCTTAGGCAGGCAGTGGAGCAGCATAGGCAGGCAATGGAGCAGCACATTTGGAGGTATGCAAGCAGCATCTCTCTCCTGTCTCACAGTCTCGGTATTTGGTACACTGCGCCAGAACTGGAATTGTACTGGAGAAGGCATCAGGCTGATGAGTCCCTGTAGGCTATAGCGACACCACTTGCCTGCCTGCCCAGCCTATGCTGCTATGTCACTCAGTACCCTAGGATACACAAATGGGAGAGGGTAACCCCTCCCTTAACCAAACCTTGATTATACATGCTAGCTCAGCCTTCTCATCCAAAATTAAATCCTGGATGGCTGCTGTTTTTCTTGTGACTGACCTGGCATTTAACAGCAAGATTTTATAGCTGTGTGGGCTATTGATATGATTACCAGCACCACCCCATCTGGAAGAACAACTGGAAAAGACAGCAGTCCACAAATATTTGTTGTCCCTTCCCTGAACCTAGCTTGTTCTTTTCCTCTCCCAGTCATATCTCCCCCTACCCTCTGCACTGTTAATTGTGGAACTATCCCCCCATGCCATGCTGCTGTTCTCCAAGCAGTAGGTGAGACAACAGAAAACAAGGGACAATAAGAGCACAAGAGTACCCCCCCCAAACAGAAGTAGACTGCCTCTCACTTGGGGAAGAACAAACAGATTGGCACACCTCACTGGCTTGTTGTGTCTGTGAAAGCGTGTTTACCCATGTCACCCACACTCTCCCCTCAGTTCGTGTGTGTCTCCTGAGTGTCGCCTCCTTACCAAAGGCAGAGGTGTAAGCTTGGAAATCACTAAGGCGCTGGCAGAGACATTCAAGGTCTCTCTCTTAAAATAAAACTTATCTTTATTAGAGAAAGACATTCAGAGATTTGCCTGGCAAGATGACTACACATTGATAGAATACATAGAAAAATACACATGCAGCGACGTTTCCCCCACCCCATGCATGCGCGAACGAGAGGCCTCTCGGTCTGACTCCTACCAAGAGTCAGCGAAAGTCTGTTGGATCTGACCAGTATTTATACCGAAGATCAAAGGGGTCCCTTAATAATCGGATTACAGTTGTAACTTAACACTTAGAAGTTGAAATTGTCTTGCAGGAAATTTGTTTCCCTTCCTTGGTCTTACACAACAAAAGTTCACATTCCACAGGATCAATACAGTGTCATTGTTTACTCCTGGTGTTTCCCAATCAGGGGAAATAAACTGTGCTTTGATGTTATCAGAGAGATGAAAGCAGGGTGTGTGTGTGAATTCTCTGTATTTCAGGAAGCTAGTCTTATGAATTGAAGTCTGCCAACCCAAATGGCCACACATTTTATTGCCTAGGAAATTGGTGTCTGTCACTTCCCAAGCTGGCTTTCCTGACCAGCTGCTTATTGTAAGTCTCACACCTGGGGCTGGGAATGGAATGTTTTACATCTTCAGTGAAAAAAAGGTCAAGCCTGTTTGCTAGCAAGGGCAGAGACAGATATACATGGATTTCATAAACTATTTGGTTCATTTTAAACCCCAAACCTTCCATATTTCTGAATTTTCTTACCACACACAACAAGAGTACCCCCCCAAACAGAAGTAGACTGCCTCTCACTTGGGGAAGAACAAACAGATTGGCACACCTCACTATCCTTCCTCCCAAACCAACAACTTGGACATCCCAATCTTCTGTCTACTTTCTGCCTCAGTGCAAGAGATGTTAAAGCAGCATTACGTGATCACTATTTCAAAACCCACTGTGTCAAGGATTCTTAATGTTCAAATAGCCAGGCCAAAAACCCTTTGGCTCTTACCCCTTGGCTCTCACCTCCCTTAAATAAGGGTACTAGGAAATGAGGCAGCCAAAGAAGGTGATCAGCAGTAAGTTGTTATAAGGTAGGTGATCAGCTCGGGTGCCCATACTCTTTCCCCTCCCTCACGATCATTAGGGTGTGCAGCAGAGTTCCCTCTTAACCCCCTCCCCCGAGCAGAGCAGTTCACATCCTGAGCAAAATATAACCTCTGTAATCTTAAAATGGGCAATGGGCAGTGCAAGACCCTGCATGGCTCCAGATTGCTGCTGAGCAGGGCTTCCTGTGTTAATGAGCAGCCGCTCACATGCACAGCTTAGAGGGAACAGTGGCCTGTCAGGCGCTTAAAGAGTCCCCACCCATTACTGAACTTTGCAGGTCCGTTCTTATGAGATGTTGGTGGTGTGACTGTTGCTGAGCACTCAGTCTGCAAAGGCTTCTGGCCACTGGGGAAATAGTTTTTTTGAATCGGCTGCTATAGGAGCCCATGCATTTTTTACCGATATTAGCAAAATTGCCTGAAAAAGCCTGTGCCAGTGTAGTTAAAATTGCATGAAGTGTATGGAGAGAGTTTTTCACATGGTTTGTAGTCTCAGCTGCAACATGAAAGCAACTTCTAAACTAAGCTGTTATATAGTAGCTAAGTTACTCACACACACACACACACACACACACACACAAACTAGGTCAATATTAGGCCATTTTCCTCCAAAGACTGTTTTTAAATTGTTAGGTAGCTAAGTTACTCACACACACACACACAAACTAGGTCAACATTAGGCCATTTTCCTCCAAAGACAGTTTTTAAATTGTTAACCTGTAACTGAAATATGCAAGCACACAACTCTTCATTCAAAATAAGTAACAATATATTAGTGCCCATTATTTGTGACCCTTTTTCGTTTTCAGTGTTGCAGGTAACATATACCGAATAGTTCAGATGACTGGGCCGGATGGACAAAAACTTCTGAAGCTGCTTCCAGTTTCTGAAACTTTGGGCAATGCTGCGCCTTCCATACATGCTCCTGTTGTGTCTGATAATACAAACGTCAATGCCTCTGTTTCTGGCCTTGTTTCTTTGAAGACTATGTTCACAAAGACCACGACTGTGTTCTCAAATACTACAGCATCTCCACTTGTTAATATCCCTGCACTTCTGACAGGAGCTCCTGGAAACTTAATTCTCCAAAATAAGTTGGATAAAGTGGAACTAGTGAAAGTAACCCACGTTGTTAATGAGAATCGGACTATAACAAGCTCCTCAGCCATTCAGAATAATTATGTTTCAACTGATAAATTATCCTTTCAAAAGGATGTGGCCTCAATGTCATCAGTCAATAGCGATGCTTTAATGAATACCAAAAATCTTCCAGTTGTGAACTCTTCAGTACTGCCTTCTGGGCATCACCTACAAATACCTGCTTATGCAGAAGTGAAATCTGTTCCAGCATCTTGTTTGCCCCCAGCTATCCAACAGAAGATACTGGCAGTGGCAGTCACAAATGCCTCTGTGATACCCAAAGCTGCAAAACCACCAAATGTTATTTATGTATCACCAGTAAAAACAGTGAAAACACCTGTTTCCAAATGCTTGCAATATACTAATCCAACACCTGCTGCAGAAATAGCAAAACCTTTAGTACTGACATCTGCACAAACAGCAGTCAGTAGTTCTGTTCCAGATGCAGTATTACACAATAGCCAGGGACAAAGGGAGGCTCCTATGAAATGGGTTGTCCAAGAAAATCCACAGTCATCAGCATCTTGCCTTGTTCCTGTACGGTCATCAAATGACATGGTATCAAAAATGTTAAAAACTTTGGTTGATAGCAAGAATGTGAAAAACAATCCTGCTAGCGCTCTGCCTGCCTGTTCTAGCAGCCTGAGCGAAAGCCAAGCAAAATTGTCTCCTGTTAAAGATAATGCCCTGGTGATGTATAATGGGAAAGTCTATCTGCTGACAAGAAAAGGATCCACTACTGAGTCAGGCCCAGATGACAAGCAGGTATCAGCCACTGCTGACACAAACGTCAGAAAACACATATCACAGGTAACTAGTTCAGTTGGAGATAACACAATAACCAGTCAAGTTGTCAATCTAGTGTTGTCAAAAAATAAAGGGGTTGCACTTAGTGCAAAGGATCCAAAATCATGTGAGAATGTTCCGCTACCTCTGTGGTCCGAATGGAACAAGACCTTAAAAGTGGCACCTATTTTAACATCACCACGTGGGAATCTGCAAATAGGCTTTGTCAGCCAACAGGAGGCTGTGTCAGCGTCAGAAAATACTCCTGTTGGAATAAAAGTTGATAAAAGAGTGACAGAAAAAGATCTGAACGTCAACATCATACAGAAAACTCTTTCTCCTAAGACTGTTGCTTTACACTCATCTACATCTGATGTTTCCAAAGATGAAGAACAAAAGGTAATTTTTATCTGCTGGAGAAAAATTTTAGTTTCGGTTGAAGACCAGATCTTTCTACCTCCCCATTCATACTATAGCCACTCAAAGCTGGTCCAGAGGACCAGGAAACCCGGGGAAGCAGCATGGGGTGTGGTACAAAGAAATGGACAGAAATAGTTCGTGCTCTTTCTGGTATGAATAGAAATACCAAAGTGTCAGGCTGAAGACTACAAGTTTGTTGTCAGTATTCTGTCAATATAAAGATTGTGACACTAAAAAAAAATCACTAATAATTTTGGTTCGTAGTTGGCTACCAAAGAATATTTTTCTTATGCTAACTAGCAGAGCTAGTGAGAGTCACAAAAGAAATCCGTGCAATTGGAAGTGCTGCTTTAGAAGCCTTTTCTAGCTAAAATGGTACATAAATTCAGCAAATTAATAAAACCCAAACCACCCTTTTGACATTTTAATCTTTTGGCCAAGAAACACTTTTTGTTATATGGATAGGAAGTCGATATGGTCCATCATCCTATGCTTTCTTAGCATTTTGTTTTACATGTCTGTTTTCTAGTTTTTTGAGAAGTATTTCTGGGCCCTGTACAGGACAGTTCTCATGTGCTCCTTTTCCTTGGAATCTGAGATCTGCTTTAGCATGGTGAGATCTGCTTTAGCATCTGTAGGAGTGAAGAAGTGAGCAGAGAAGCCCACAAGTGAACTTAAGTTCACTGCTGAATCAGACCAGTGGTTCATCTTGTCCATCATGTTGTTTTACACAGTGCTTAAGCAGTTGCTCAGAGAGTCAGACACACAGAGCAAGGAGGCTGAGGCCCTCCCTTTTTGCTGCTTCCCAGCACTTGTATTCATGTTTTCCACTAGAGGTGTGTACACCCATAGGGTATAATGGAGAATCGAACTAGGGGTACCTGGGGCACTGGCTGGGGGGCTGTTTATTTCAGCAGAGGTCTTTTCCTTGGAATCTGAGATCTGCTTTAGCATGGTGAGATCTGCTTTAGCATCTGTAGGAGTGAAGAAGTGAGCAGAGAAGCCCACAAGTGAACTTAAGTTCACTGCTGAATCAGACCAGTGGTTCATCTTGTCCATCATGTTGTTTTACACAGTGCTTAAGCAGTTGCTCAGAGAGTCAGACACACAGAGCAAGGAGGCTGAGGCCCTCCCTTTTTGCTGCTTCCCAGCACTTGTATTCATGTTTTCCACTCGAGGTGTGGAAATCAGTATTTTTCGGGTTTGGGTATACTGAACCAAAAAAAAATTGGTATTTCCCAATATTCCCGAATCCCAATACTGGTGTGGTATTGGGATTCAGGAAATATTTGGAATTGCTGACATTTTCCAGCTACATTATATCCTATGGGGACCATTACAGTCAATGGTCACCATAGGGTATCATGGAGAATTGAACTGGGGGTACCTGGGGCTCTGGTGGGGGGCTGTTTATTTCAGCAGAAGTACCAAGTTTGCAGCATAGCTGCTGATGCCTCTTCTCATAAACCCCCTTAAATTTCAAAAAAATTGTACCAGCCCAGAAGAAGGCAACCCCATCATCCATTCTTTCCAATGGAAGGTGGGGAGGTCTCTTGCCATTACATGCAGACCTGGTTGGGAGGCTTCCTCTGCCTAGGGCTTTAAACTGTGGGACAGGAGGAACTGGCCCCAGGATCTGTGTGAGGCAGGGAGGTCTTGTTACCACATGCAGACATGGCTGGGAGGCTTCTCCTGCCTGGCACTTTAAACCACGGGGCAGGAGGAGCTGGCCCCAGGATATGTGTGCAGCAGGGAGTCTATCGCTGCCGTACACAGACCTGGCTGTGAAGCTTCTCCTGCTCCACAGTGACGTCTAAGCTGTGGAGTCTTCTGAGCAAAAATTCTACTTTGTGAGCTACTGGCATTAAAGTTGTGAGTGAGCAATTTGGTTTGCTCTGGAGCCATCCTTCCTGAACTAAGACAAAACACTAAGGCTAAAAAACTGTGAGCTAGCTCACACTAACTCAGCTTAGAGGGAACACTGGTGGGGCGGTCTCTCCCCCTGCACACAGACCTGGCATTAGGAGCCCACCAGCTGAGGAGGTGCAGAGATCTCAGCTCCCGCTGCCCCAGCTGATCCTCTCCTTGGTATAGCTAACCCAAATAAAAGCCAAAAGAATCGACTTTTAATCGGGCTCTGCCATATCAGTAGCTGAAGCAGATCCTTTGATCTGTTTTGACTGAATTAATTTATTCAGTTTAGTTTGTGCCAAAAGCACACCCCTATTTTCCACTCATGTAAAAAAATAATAAACCTCTGTATCTCCCCTTAGTTGTCTTTTTCTAGACAAAAGCCCCAGACTCCCCGGAATGCTGGCTACTTCCCTGAAATTGTCTTTGCCTGGCCAATGCTTACCACTGTAGGGATGAAAATTCATGTGGGAATGCAGACTTCTCTTCTCCTCCCAGCATGGCAAGGAAGTCTATCAGTGCTTTATTACTTTCAGCTGGGTGTATTTTGTAGTATTAAAGTTCACTGGTCTTGTCTTATCAACCTCAAAACAAGATTATTCCCATATCACTACGATAAGGCCCACTATGAAAACAGGTTTTCAATTGAGCCCTCAAATAGTTCTGTTTGCATAGATTAAATAATTAAAAACAGCAAAATAGTTTAATTGGTAATAACATTGGTTTATTCTTACAGAAGGCTAATGTACTTTCTAAAATATTGTCAGGCCATAGGTTCCCATGGCTAAAATTACAGTAATTACATCCTGTTTCACTGCAAAGCACTCTGTTTATTTGGAAACAAGTTATTTTTCTGTAAGAAATAGTAAACTGAGTACCTTAGACCTATCACAAAAGAAGCAAAACAAAGCTATCCATAGTTAGTGTATGGTGGTTATATACAGACCTTCCCGGTTATGCAGATGTTACAACTTTGGAAATTCAGCATACACACCCTGAAAAAAATGGTCCTTGGACTGAGCATGCTGCAGGAGTCACAAAATATTTAGGAGCATTTTAAAAGAAGGGTAAAGTGAGAATTGACTGTTCAATTCTCAAAGCTTAGAGAATCCCAGATAGTATAAGGTACACATGTTTTCTTCCCCATCCTCACTCTAAATGTCCTATACCAGCAGAGAGAGAGAAAAATACCCTCTTCTCCATGCTAGGGTAAGGCTTAGTTTCCTGCTCACCTAACCCCAAATGTCAGCACTCCAGGGCAGTTAAAGTACATGCTGTCCTTTTGAATCTGGACATCAGAATTTCAGGATTGTAGTAGATAGCTTGATGAAAGGTCAACTCACTGTGTGGTGATGGTGAAAAAGCCCAATGCCACACTGGGGATTACTATCAAAGGAAAATAAGGCTGTCACGTCTCAGGTGGGGTGTCACCTGATGCTGCCACCACTCTGGTTTTAGGATACCTTGAGAAGGCCCAGAGCACCCTCCCAAGACTTTCAGACGTCCCTCGTTTGGCCAAAATAAGCGTGAGGACCAGGCAGAGTAAACAACATGGAAAAGGTTTATTTTTACAGGAGGTCAGCCCAATATGGGAAACAGGATGCAAGAACAATATCAGTAAGGGGGTGAAAAGAAAAGAAACCAAATGCCCTAAATCATCTAGACTTACTGTCCCTAGCTCACTGTCTCAAGTGGGCCTCAGTGTGCTCACCCTTCCTCTCAGGATGAGGGTCTCTTCCCTGCAGCAGCCTTCCTTCTGGCTCTGCTCTCTTGGAAGAAAGAACAGCTCTTTTTCTGTACCAGCTCTTTTATTATAAGTCCCCTTTCTCTATGATTGGCTAAAATTGGCACCAGAACCTCTCAGGGGCTTCTGGGAGTTCTAGGCCTAGCCTCCGCCCACTGCTACACAGGATCCCTGGGCCTGCTAGGCCTTGCTTGCACAGCCCAGATCATGACAAAGGCCAATGTTGTAGTGCTTCTGTAGATTTATACTGTGGCCTCATTTGGAATACTGTGTAGAGTTCTGGTTGCCATCTCCAAGAGAATGTAGGGGACCTGGGAAAAGTGCAGAAGAGAGCAATCAAAATGATTAAGTAGCTGACGCACCTGTCCTGTAAGGAAAGAGCAAAGAGCCTGGGGCTTCTCAGTTTAAAAAGAGGGCGAGTAATTATGCATTGAATGGAGAAAGTGGACAGAGGGAACTTTTCTTCCTCTCCCATAATCCTAGAATTTGGGGGCACCCAGTGAAGTTAATAGGCAACAGATTCAGGATGGACCAAAGGATGCACTTCTTTACTCCACTGATTAAATTGTGGAATTCATTGCCAGTGGACACAGTGATGAGCACAATCATAGATGGCCTGAAGAGGGAATTCGACCAATTCTTGGGGAATAGGTCAGTCTAAGGTAACTAAAAGGAACTTTTATATTCAGTGTCAGCAAACTTTTAAATATCAATGCTAGGAAGCAACATCAGGAGAAGGCCTTGCCTTATATACTGCTGTTGGCTGCTGTGTGAAACAGGATGCTTTACTAGTTGGATCACTGGTCTGATCTTGTGGGGTTCCTATGACTAGTGAAGTAGGAAGAAATTCATATATCTCCAGAGTTTGAGTCTTTTGTTATTATTGAGGTGTGTTTGTCTACAGTTGCTTATTAATTGCATCATTCTTTGTGGGCTCCTAACTTTAATTCTTTTATTAGGAAACTGCAGTACCTCAGAATGTTAGTTCTGCTTCCAGTAAGGGAGGGGCAACCAGAAACCTACTGAGATAATAATTTAAACATTCTGATATCCTGGCAAATGATTGCTAATATGTTGAATGCTTATTATTTCAGATTGAGAAGATAAACTCAACAGGAATGGCTATCAAACAAAGGAAAGTGCAACACAGAAAACAGTACACTGAGATCAGAAAGAAATTTGGTCTATTAAAAGAGGAGAGAGTATACCTCAGGAGACTACCTTTATTAAATTCTGTTATAAAAACAGAAGAAATAGAGTTGTCCAATAATGTACATACGAATGACTCTTGCAGATTGCTGCAGGCAATAACTGTGAAACCTGAGTCTGAAGAAGAGGAAATGGTATCTGAAATATTTATGTATATCATATTTATATTATATTGGTAGCCTTCATCTGTATTGTAATGTATAAAGGACTGTGAAGCCTTAGGCAACGGATTGGCAGAACTGTTGTAATGTCATGAAATGTTCGCAGTTCTGACTGCTGATCAAGCAAATGAAATTGTGTGAAGAGAGCATGAGAAAAGCCTCCAATAGGGCATAGGCGCTGGCAGAGTTGTGAGTAAATAGGATGAGAACTGGAAAACCCGAGTGGAAGAGGTGACTGAAAGGACGAGGAAAGAACTCATGAGGCAAGGTCACTGGAGGAAGGAAGCACAGGGTAAATGGTGGACTAAGAAGCAGGAACCTGATAGAGGAATAGGTGGAGTAAATAGAGGACTGATAAAGAAATACAGAGGGAAGGAAGAGCTAATGAGAGAGGGAGATGGGAGAACATGGGCACTGAAACTTTGCCAGGCTCACAGGAAATATATTATCTTTGGAAATACTTTCACTTTAAACTTGGAGGTAAAGAACATGAAAGTTTAATAGGTTTTGGAAGTGCGTGGATGTCCATGATGATCCATTTCTAAAAATATAGATTGGTGGGGCATGTTTTTTGAAGTTATACAGGTATTCTGAATTTCAGGCCTGTCTTTTCCCATGATTGTTGATAGAGGCTGTAGAAATCTCTGTGATCCCAAGGCAAAGAACTCATTGATGGCCAGTGAAGTAATTAGAGTAGCTACAGCTCTGAACATGACAGCTGACTAATTTTCTATAAATCAGCGTTCCTAAACAAAGGGTTGGGTCTAGTCAGTTTCTTGCCTTCCTTACTACAGCCTCATGCTGAATGGCCTTTGTTCATGCAGATCCTGTGACACTTAGCATAGCCTTTTGAGTGATCAAAAGGGACTCCTCCCATTTTCACTGACAGAAAACCTGATAGGAGCCAACCCAATGACGCATCAGTTCAGCAAATGGATGGGTGGGGTGTTGTTAACTTTAGGATTCATTTATCCTGCTGTTAAAATATGCCATCAAATTCTTTTTCTTCTTGACACACAGGTACTTGGGAAGCAGGACTCAAACATGAAGAGGAATGCAGAACTACCTGAGCCAGTGCTAGAAAATGCAAAGAGGAGGAAAACCTTGGGTCCAAGTTTAGACCATGATAACCCTTCTTCAGTGATGGATAACCTAGTTAGCTTTTGCGGACAATTTTTGTCACAGCAAGAAAATCCTACAGTCTCATTGCTGTGTTCTTCGAATGGGGGTTCTGACCCAAATACTTGTATGCAAAGTAGTGAAGACAGTGAGGTTTTGTGTCCTACTTCACATGGCATTACAAATGAAACACCTTTTAGTGCCAGTTCTCTTGGAGAAGACTGTTTTCTGTTTAGTCCTCCAGACTTAGAAGAAACGATAAAAGATGAAAAAATAGAAAGACTTAAACTCCTTCTGAAGAAACACGAGGCAGCACTGGAAGACGTGTGCAAGAAACAGGAGACCTGACAAAATGAGGACATAGTACAGAAATGTAATTGAAAAGAGTAATTGTTTGTGAAATGGAATACAAATGGTCGCATAAATAGGATGAATATAGTTCCTTTTAAAATTTGATGATAAACCTCAAACCTGTAGAATAACTGGTATGCTACTTTTACAATGTTTTATATTATAAATTTAATTTGTTCTAAGAAACAACTGTATTTCTACTTTCTCTGAAACAAATAGAATGCATTAAGAAATCTCACCATCATTTTCCCCTTAAAGCTTTAAAGTGTATTTCCCTGTAAATCTGAAGCCTGTTCATCTAGGTTGGAATATTTTATTATTTGAGGATGAAAATAAATTCACAGACATGTCTTGCATTAGTGGAAGGTATCACTGGCATCTAATCCTGTTTCTTTCCTTATATGAAGCTGCTTTTAACTGTTCAATATAGAATGACATTTGGATATTTCTTAAAACACAGTAGCGTAGTCATCCAGTATAATTGTTTGTCTGATTAGTGTTCAGTATTTGAAGCAGATATTTTATGCATATTTTTACTATTCAGTATTCATCTCTGTCTTGAACTCTATGTATTTTCAATAGAATTTGATAATTCCAGAGATAATTTGATAATTCCAGAGAGGTAGGCATTAAGACAGACTACTCTGAGATTCCGGCTTATGCAGGAGACCATGTCAGACAAAGAGCTTTGGGATAGAGATGTTTAAAAACAGATAGGGGCTTTAGATGCATAGGAAATTTGAGCAGTTCACCTGCAGGAAATTTTCAGTAAATGTCTTGGAGTATTCCAGAACAGGAAGCAGTCCCTGCAGCTGTTCAGATTTCCTTGATATTGGCAGTGCCATAATTCTTTGAAATGCATTAAAGTTGTTTTCTTAGCTGCTCCATTCTTAGCTGACAAAGCATGCATCCTGTCAGTCTTTGTGTGGAATTTGGAAGAGTTCTTGTCTCAGAAGTCAAAGAAGATTCTGGCTAACATGTCTGATTAAAAAATTATATATACTGAACTTCTCCTATGATGGAAATAGAAGAGTTGGTTTTCATACCCCCATTCATTACCTTCCCTACAACAGACACCCTGTGAGGTAGGTGGGGCTGAGAAAGCTGTGACTGACCCAAGGTCACCCAGCTGGCTTCATGTGGAGGAGTGGGGAATCAAACCTGGTTCTCCAGATTACAGTCTGCTGCTTTTAACCACTATACTAAATTGTTTTCCAGAGCTGAATAACACCTGGATTTTGTCCATGTCTGTAGAAGATGAAATAATGAAATTGTTATGAGAGAAAAAACAGCATCTATGTTTTGAGAAAGGAGAAAGTGTTCAGCAAGATGACCTGAAGAGAAGATTCCTGTTTGTTTCAGAAAAGTGAGCAAGAGTCAGTGCATCTGTGAAAAAGAAGCTTTCAATGAAAAGTAAATCCTGCTGACTGAAGATCTGTAAAAGAAAACCACATATTGAAGAATTAGCCCTGGAGTGAAACCCTATCAATGTGTTGAATGTGAAAAGAGTTTCAAGTAGACTTCAGAAATGATGAAACTCCAAGTAACATAACAGTCCTCACCCATTATTTTTATGAACGGGCTCGTTCTGGTGCTAAAATAGTACAAGTTTATTGTCTGGGATAGGTAATCATAGCGCAGCCACAACAGAGAGGAAGATGTAGCATTTTAATGACTTGGGGAAACCCAGACGGGGGCAGTAAAGCATCCTCTTGCGATCACTTCTCTGCTGGGAGATCCTGCTTTTGCCTCTAAGGCCTCAACACCCAAAGTGCGCAAACCCAAATGAGGGGTGCAGTCAGCAAGCCTCTGATCTATAACTGGTAATATTGGCGAATTGGGTTGTGATGGGAACTAGAGAGAAAGCCCCCCACTCCACCCTCAACTGGGGTGACTCCCAGTCTACAGTCCAAGATACACGGACATGCAACTGTGTATGCCCTTGTTCCAGTCTTTTTCTGGCTCTGCCTGCTCTAGTTTTTGGTAATGTAATCAAGTCCTGGAACTTCAAGGCAATGAACCCCCCGGAGGTGTGCAGAGGAATGGATGATGTTCAGGTAAAACGATAAGGACTGGGTTATGTTCAGCAAAGAAGCACTGTTTTATTTGTTTTCACTAGCTAAACCTGCCATAGTTCCCTTTTCTGTGTTTGCTACCTTTCTGTGCTTCCTGTTTAACTCGATGTTATTGAAATAAAACTCATAGAAACTGAAGTGCCCGATCCTTGGAGGTGAAGGATCCCTTTAGAATAAATGTCAGCCCACCTACACCCAGAGATCACTCAAGCTATGTGAGGACGTAAGCCAGGGTTGGGGGAGAGCTAAGGCTGGGAAGGGTGAGGTCGAAATCATTTCTCATGCATACACCCCCAGCTGAGGTGGACCAAATACTATGGCTTGGATCTAGCAGTGCACAAGTGGAAACAACTCTACTTTGAGATTTTCAGGGTATAAGCTTTCGAGAGTCAAATCTACCTTCGTTAGATACAAGTTTGAATGGAGATCTCTGGTCCTTGTATCCTAGTCAGAAGACGGGAGTGGCGGAGTCAAATCTAGCTGTTCTACTGCAGACCAATGTGGCTACCCTCGGAAATGATCATAAATGGATTTCGTATAGTACTTCTTGTGCAAGACTTAGCACTTTCTTCCCTATCTGTTATAATGGCCAGGGGCTGGTTTAACAAGATCTTGTGCAAGCAGAAATGTAAGTGGGAATATAACAAGTCTGACAGTACAAATGGCTGCTGCAGTCTTTTTGGTGCATTTTTTATTTGTACAAGAGCTTAAGCACAATTGGAAAACTTGTACTGCATCCAGTCCTGTCGCTTTCAGTATTACACTGAATTCCAATCGCTGGAACTTCCTGAGTGGTGGCCTCTCCCTGGTTCTTATCCAATTTCAATGGAAGAAGCCAAATTGGATAGAGTTTTCCCCATGAATCCTGTCTCTTGGAAAATTAGCGCAAGTGCCGAGCTTGGCAGTGGCAGGCAAATATTGACTATGACAAATACCGTTGCTTTTGACCTTGTATCCCATTTTTCTTTTTCAGAAAAAAACAGCCATAGTGGCTTATGTTCATTTAGAATCAGTAAAGTTTCAGCAATGAAAACAAGGACTAGATAAAATTTCAGTCTCAGGTAAGCAGTTATAAATATATCAGCACAAGATTTAAAAATTGCTCTCACCAAAGGCCCCCTCAAAACACCACCTTACTAAAGTTTTTTCCGGGAGCAAATCCAGAAGTGATCTTGAACTGCCAACAGTCTGTTAGGAAAACTGCAACCGTGACCAGGACAGCTTGCAGAAATGTTTCCAAATTGGTTTTACTTATGATCCATTACTAAGTTTATATATCCAGTTTTAGGGGTTAAATTTGAGAAGCTGGGAGACCTCTGAATGGATCTCAGAATTATTAAAAGAAATGGCTGTGTAGATGGCCTGATTTGGATCAGAAGGGAGCTTTACCCTTCCTGTGATGTTTGCCAGTCAGAATTCAACACACTTGTATTGCAATAAGCCCGGGAAGGAAAGAAGTTCTCAGTGTGATCCTAAGCAGGTTCACTCAGAGTCCTACTGAAATCTATGGGGCTTGCTCCCAGGATAGTAGGATTGTACTGCCTGCCTCTCCTTTCCAGGCCTAATAACAGCATGTATGGCAGTAGTGGTTTTGATAGGCAAATAGACACATAGGAGGTACAAAGGATTAAAGCCCTTCCCCCCCCCCTCCACCTGAATCAGGGTTTGAGGTAATACCATTTCCCATTAAAAATGCTGGGGAGCTGAGGTGATGTATTTCCTGACATGTAGTTTGCCTCTCAATGAAAATCCAAACAGTGCAATCTTACTATGGATGCCTTTTGTCATGGCACTTGCTGATCCAGTCTCTCTTATACACAGACATGCAAAACGGAGCACTAGTGTGCTGTCCAATTTTATCTTAAAGTATCATTCAAAATTATTTGTTTTTGTCTAAACTCATAATAAATTGAAATGTACAATTTAATTCTGAGCTCTTCCTTTTTACAAGAAAGCCAAGCAATATATCAAAAGCTGTGATGTTTTAGACCCCAGACATCGCATCTCTTGGATGCCTTAAAGAAAAACAAAACTGAAGTCCAACGACACCTTAACGACCAACAACATTTATTTCAAAGCAAGGTTTGAGTCCAGTGGCTTATTTAACACAAAGTTTTATTCTGGGTATAAGCTTTTGAGTACATGCACACAAAAGCTTATACCCAGAATAAAACCTTGTTAGTCTTAAAGGTGCTACTGGTCTCAAACTTTCTTCTGATGCTTCATCCCAAAACAGATATTCATCTGAATATTTATTCCAGTATGAGCTTTCATGAGTTAAAGCTGACTTCATTAGCTAGAGTGGAAAGAAAATTGTTTGCCTTATTTTAAGAATGTTGCAGGAAGGCAGGGAAAGGAGTTGAGTAAAGAGAGACCTGGTATAAATCCAGTATGACCCCTTAGTTATAATGGATAAGAGAGGTCAGAGATTCTAGACACTCGGGCAATGAAAATGAAAGTGCCGCATGACTGAGTGAGCTCCCATCCAGCTCCTGCCAACCTAGCAGTTCGAAAGCAAGAAATTGCAAGTAGATAAATACCTTCGGTGGGAAGGTAACGGCGTTCTGTGTGCCTTGGCGTCTAGTCACGCTGGCCACATGACCACAGAAATGTCTTTGGGCAGTGCTGGCTCATAGGCTTGAAAACGGAGATGAGCACCGCTTCCCTAGAGTCGGATTTGACTGGCTTTCGAGCAAGTGAAACCTTTACCTTTACTACTAAAGGGATATGATATGATACAACATGTTAACAGTCAGGAGACATGGTGTGATTGATCCACCTAACTATGCCTGGTTACGGAGATGGTTGGAGAGGAGGTGTTGCCATCATCCTTGGTGAGTCCTTCAACTTCTGCAGGCTTCCAGTACACAAACTAGCTGGCATTCAGCATATGCTCCCTATGTTAGGAACTAAGACAAATCAGGCATTCTGCTTGTTTACCAACCACCTAGTTCCCCAGTGGTCACCCTCTTGGACTTGGTGGCGGTTCTCTCAGATGTGGCAGTGAAGGCACCCGGTCTTCATCATTCATGCTGATGGCTCTTCTCCAGGGCTGGCCCAAGATTATATAGCCTCTTTGACTGCCCAGGGCCTCTCTCAAATTGTGATGGGTCCAACACATGAAAAAGGCTACACCATGCACTTAGTATTTTACACTGAGCTTCTGAGGGGAAATCTTGCTTCAGGGTTAAAGATTAAGCCAGGACTATGGTCTGACCATTATCTGTTGAAGGCAAGGATTAATACAACACTGACAGCCCATTATCTATTGAAGGCAAGGATGAGTATGACACCAACATGCCACAAAAAGGACCCCCCAGTTGAAATAGTCCATGGAGGTTCATGGAGCCTCCTGGACTCTGAAATGCTCTGGGAGATTTTGAGATTCCAACACTTGACTTATGGAGGCTGCAGTGGGAGCTTGGAATGTGATGACCTCTGTCCTTGGGGAGAAAGCCAGTCCCATTACCTGCTGCAGAACTGGGTGATCTGAAGAGGGCTGAAAGACATCTGTAAAGACACTGATGGAAAACTTGCACTGAATCCAACAGAAGATGCTATAGAGTCCACTGGAAAATTCATGAAGTGGCAGTGATAGCAGCAAAGAAATGTAATTTCTCTGCAATCCTTGCATCAGCTAGGTCACAATCTTCCCAGCTGTTTAGGGTATCTCATCACCTGCTGACTGTTCATCTGAACCTTTACCAGTTTGGTGTAGTGGTAAGTGCGCGGACTCTAATCTGGGAGAACCGGGTTTGATTCCCCACTCCTCCACTTGCACCTGCTGATGTGACCTTGGGTCAGCCACAAGCTCTGGCACAGCTGTCCTTGAAAAAGAGCAGTTTGTGTCAGAGCTCTCTCAGCCCCACCCACCTCACAGGGTGTCTGTTGTGGGGAGGGGAAGGGAAAGGAGTTTGTAAGCCGCTCTGGGACTCCAAGTGAAGGGCGGGGTATAAATCCAATCTCTTTACTGTTTCCTGAACTAACAATTAGCTGTGAGACCTTTGCAAAGTACTTTGCCGATAAAACAACATGAGTACTACCTGGATGCTGCCTGTAAGACCAGACTACGCAAAAATATAAGAATAATTTATCAAGTTGTCGCATATAATCCACAATATCACAGTAAGAACCACTGCTAACCAGACAAAAGATAACAGTCTCTAATTGTTAACTAATAAAAATCCCCAGGGTTATATCCGTCGAGACTTCTTCCAAGCCTGTTCTCTGCACACACAGAATTGTCAGCTGAGACAATTCTGTTTAAGCTTGCTGCACTGTGATGAGGGGGTTTTATCTGCTGAAACAGTCCTCTTTATCAGCTGAGACTGTTCTGCATAGTTGTTGTCATTTTCATAGTGAGTCTTTGATGTATACGCCTACACTGTGAACCCTTACAGTTAAACTGTAAGACCAGACTGGCAGGAGAAATGCTTAATACATTGTGTGGTCTGCTTATGGAGCCCAGTTGCTGTGATGGATATTGACAGAATCCTGGGATCTATGAAGGCGAGCACGTGTACACTGGACCGTTGTCCATCCTGACTAATGAAATAATGTAAAAAACCACATAAATCCGTTCTTGATGGCGCGAATCATCCTGACTAATGAAATAATGTAAAAAACCACATAAATGAGTTCTTGATGACTACCATTAATACTAACCCAGGGCACTGTACCTCAGGCACTCAAACAGGTGGTCATCCATTCCCTACTTTAAAAACCATCCTTAGACAAAAATGATGTTGCTACTTATTGCTCAGTTTTTAATCTACCCTTTCTGGGCAAAGTGATTGAGAGAGAGCAGTAGCAGACCACCTCCTGGTCTTCCTAATTAACTCTTTTCAATCTGGTTTCAGGCAGGGCTGCAGGACAGATGGCTCTGGCGGCTTTAGTTGATTACCTCTGCCTAAATGTAGGCAAAGGTCATACTTCTTTGCAGCTCCTCCTGTGTCTCTCTGCAGCCTTTGATGCAGTAGATCATGCCACGTTACTGAGGTGTTTGGAGGCAGCAGTAGGTATTAGGGAATGTGCCTTCAACTGGTTTAAGGTTAGGAAGGCCCCCACTCTCCTGGCTTTCCACAAACTGTAAAATGGAGTTATTCAAGAGAACTTTTTTGCACATTTAGATAGGGCTATACTGTAATAAAATGGTTCAGAAAGTTGCACTGGTAAAGGGATAGGGACTACTGCGTTGCTGGCTATCACTGGTAAGTAAGTTGCACTGGTAAAGGGATAGGGACTGTGGCCTATACTACTGTGTTGCTGGCTATCACTGGTAAGAATGGTCCAGACTAAGTAGTTTCTACACATATCATGTTTAAATGCTTCTGCTCTGTTTCAGCTTTCTTTGAGATTCCTGTTTGTTTTCAGATTTCTGCAGTCGAAACCATATTATACTGTTCACTGGATATCCCATCCTGTTGATTATACTTGACTTACACCACGTAATCCACCTTGAGTCTCAGTGAGAAAGGCAGACTATAAATAATCTTAATTATAATAATAATAATAGCTGAAACACCTGTAAAAGTGGGTTAGGCAAATTCATGCTCTGCCAGCAGTTATTAACCAGAAAAGTTAGGTTCAAAACAGGTCCGCTCACAATGGCAGTCAATGAAGCGCAAAAGTGGGGAGATCCATTGGCTTTCACACCCTGCTTCTAGGCTTTCGATCTAGGAAACAGGATGCTGGACAAAGTGTACCTTAGGGATTCTTCCTCTGTAATATGAACACTTCTCAACAGTTCCAGGCCTTCTGCCCCAGTCACTAAATATATCTACACCAAAGGGTTTTATGTTTCTTGGGAAAGGTCCCTCTATAAACTTTAATAGTGCAGGACACAGAATTAATGCTGCCTGTTTCCAGACATGGGGCATGTGCTCTTTGCGGAAATCAATAGGGATTTTATTATTCTTTTCGGTGCTATGTGTTAACCTACGGTATCATTTGAACACAAGAACAATTAAAGCATACCAAGGTCAGTATCATCCACCATGGCTGGCAGCAGTTCCCCAAGGTCTCATGGAAAGCTTCCTGGCCCTTTTAACTGGAGACGCTGAGGACTGAACACTGAATCTTTTGCACTCAAAGCAAATGCTCCACCATCCATGCCCCCCCTGCCCACCTTGTGTAAGCAGAATTCATGGACCCAAGGCAATCAACTGTAACCAGTCCATTTATTATTCATTTTAACAAAAATCTAAAATATGCTGCAGTTAGCCACTGGCAACATTACTTTATGCTGTGAATTGCATTGTTTTGTGAGTTAATTAAATGCTTTTTTCACATAGATGACTGAAAATTTTCAGTCACATTCCTACATTAATCAGAGTATTTTCATATAAAATATATAACATGTCACATTAGTACTGCTTGCATTGAAGGCCCCAATCCTAAAAACCTTTACAGTCACCAGTCTAGTGAAAAGGGTACTTTCAGGCATCCCTTGGTTAGAGCCTGCTAGTTGCTGGTTAGGGCAGATATCAAAATTCCTGAGTCACTGGTGGTGAAAACACATCCTGTTATTTGTTCCTCATAAACTTCCTGAGATGGGTAGTTGTGATTCATCTGTTGTGAACTGTGGGTTTGTATAGTTAACACTGTGTCCATCCAGCTGCACTACTACATACAAGGTGATTTTCTGCAGTTAAAAAACAAGGAAAGAAAAAATGGAGAAAGGAAATATGAGTTGCCTTTACTACAGTGGAATTACTTCTCCATAGCAATATATGTCTTGCTTGTATGCAGAACAACATGCAGTCATGAACATGCACATCCTTTATCAGGTGAACATATAGGAGGGGGCATGCTGTCAAACTGAGGCTTCTTAGAGCATGTGCATGTGATGAAACGTGGGGGCACATGCAAGGTATGTACAATTTCTACACAATTTATATCCGTGGAGAAGACTAAACATTGCATTGAGGAAATAACCTCACCAGTAGCATTATATAGATCTAAACCACAAAAAATATTTAGAAATATTGTTTTAAGAAAGATCAGATGGGAAGCCGTGTTAGTCTGTCCGTAGCAGTAGAAAAGAGCAAGAGTCCAGTAGCACCTTAAAAACTAACAACGTTTGTGGCAGGATATGAGCTTTCATGACTCACTGCTCACTTCTTCAGATACCTGAAGAATTGAGCAGTGACTCACGAAAGCTCACACCCTGACACATATTTTGTTAATCTTTAAGGTGCTACTGGACTCTGGCTCTTTTCTACTGTTTTAAGAACGATTGGCTAGCAAACCCACACTAGATCTTTTTTCACAGGAAATAAGGGCAAATGCAAGGATCTACCCTTCAAAGGTAATCTCCTGGTGATGCACAGATTTGCATGGGGGGAATAGCACCTAGAATGTCTCACTAGCCCCAAAGTCACTTAACTTAAAAGATATTTAACAAAAAAGCTCCAATTTACCTGGAAGTCACGAATGTAAGTAAGAAAAAAGCTGACAAAAGAGAAAGCCAAAGACCATTCAGAGACTGTGCTCATGATGTGAAGACTGTATTCCTATGAAAAAACAGAAAAAAATCTATATAGTAAAGAGTGTTTTTCAGTGGTGGAAGTCTTTGTTCTGTACTTCAAAATAGGATTTGCTGTTCAGTTGACAAACTCATTGGGGACACATCTCTAAAAACAAAACAAAAAACATGAAGGAAGTTACTATAAAATACCTCAGAAAAGATCATTAGTATCACTGAAGAAAACAATCAGCATAGCCAACACAACAAGTGGCTAAATTTGCGGATGATACGAAGTTGTTCAGGGTGGTGAAAACCAGTGAGGATTGTGAGGCACTCCAAAAGGATCTGTCAAAGATGGGCGAGTGGGCGTCAACATGGCAAATGGGGTTCAATGTGGCCAAGTGCAAGGTGATGCACATTGGAGCCAAAAATCCTAAATATAAATACACGTTGATGGGGTCTGAACTGGCAGAGACTGATCAAGAGAGAGATCTTGGAGTTGTAGTAGATAACTCACTGAAAATGTCGAGACAGTGTGCGACTGCAATAAAGAAGGCCAATGCTATGCTGGGGATTATTAGGAAGGGTATTGTAAACAGATCAGCCAATATCATAATGCCGCTATATAAATCAATGGTGCGACCCCATCTGGAATACTGTGTGCAATTCTGGTCACCACACCTTAAAAAGGATATTATAGCTTTGGAAAAAGTGCAGAAAAGAGCAACTCGAATGATAAAAGGGTTGGAACACTTTCCCTATGAGGAAAGGTTAAGGCGCTTAGGGCTCTTTAGCTTGGAGAAACGACGACTGAGGGGTGACATGATTGAGGTTTATAAGATTATGCATGGGAAAGAGCAGGTAGAGAAAGAGGTACTTTTCTCCCTTTCTCACAATACAAGAACCCGTGGGCACTCCATGAAATTGCTGAGCGGTCGGGTTAGAACGGATAAAAGGAAGTACTTCTTCACCCAAAGAGTGATTAACACTTGGAATTCACTGCCACAGGAAGTGGTGGCGGCTACAAGCATGGACGGCTTCAAAAGGGAATTAGATAAGCATATGGAGCAGAGGTCCATCAGTGGCTATTAGCCACAAGGTATAGATAGGGACTCTGGGGCAAGTGATGCTCTGTCATCTTGGTGCTTGGGGGGGGGGTCAACAGTGGGAGGGCTTCTAATGTCCTGGCCCCACTGGTGGACCTCCTGATGGCACTGGTATTTCTGGCCACTGTGGGATACAGAGTGTTGGACTGGATGGCCCTTTGGCCTGATCCAACATTGGCATCTCTTATGTTCTTATGTAACACTGCTTAATGAGCTAACAAGGGCAGGATCCCCCCCCCCCAAGTTCATTTTCTACCAGAGACAACACACCATGATCACAACAGCAAGTCAGTTCCACTGAAAGAGCTGGTGGGTAGGATTCGGTGAAATACACAAGATGGCTTGATCAGAGGCAGTAAAGAAGACCTAATTCATATTTGTCACAATTGGGCTGAGAGCTGCAAAAGAATCATAAGAAACGGGCCATAACACTCAGGGAAAATGTGAGGAACAGCTCTTCCCCCACTGCCTCAGATCACAGATTTAAGTGTTTTGGTTTTTATTTAATTTTTTTCATGGGGGAAAAATCCATTCAAGCAGGCTAGTAGACTGGCAGAGGCTCACACAGGGCAAATGTCATGATACTTCATTGGATTAAAGACCAGATGCTTCACACTGTTTTGGTGTGAAGCATCTGGTGTTTAATCCAATGTAGACTCAAGCCAGCCATGGACTTCATCCCTGTTCTTGATACCTCGCCTTCCTTTTCAGTGCCTTGGGAACTGCTGTCAATAGCTTTTGGGAGGCAATAAAACACTTGATTCAATTACTCATATTTTACTATGCAGATAACAAATTTATTCTTTGTTTTCTCTTAATTCACATTTGTTCACAACAATACAACTTACTTTGTCATCAGGGTCCCAGTGCATCTTCTGTATAAAATCCACTCCATCCTGAGCACTATATAACATGACTGAAGAAATAAACACTTTTTTAAAAGTTAAGGAATATCTGAGTCACATGGGGAGCTCTCTCATTTTATGTTGCTTCTATGCCAATGCATTTGGATATCATTTGTAAATTCAGTTTAATGGAGATCCAAATGACATCACTGCGATCCTGCTGCATTTCTTGTTCCCCTCCCAACTTTTTTCATCATTTGATTTGTGGAGATGTCTTTTAACTCGGGGTAAATTGCATGTTGGGCCATAAGGTTACAATGTTTTGTACATTCATTTCAGAGTAAATCCCACAGTGATTTTCTTCCAAGTAAGCATGGGCTGCATGGCTGCAATCTATATTTAAGCAATTTTAAATAAGTAGGCTTAGGTTAGCCTGATTCTTCACAGGATCAGGCTCATGGCTGTAATCCTATACATACTTACTTTTGGAACCTCCCAATACAATCAGACTTACTTCTGAGTAAACACAGATAGGACTGGAGTCCTATGCACAAATCCCACTGAACTCAATATTTGTTTTGTTCTGATGGGACATCACATAATATGAATATAGTGCACAGCTGTATACTTAGTAGCTACTGAAGTACAGACATTCTGTAATGTTTTGCAGCACTGCTTGATAACTGGCACTTCTTAGTCATTGTTTATTTTAATATAAATGATGTTTTCATGAAAGGACATGGGTCACTTTCAATGCTCCCTCTAAGCTGTGGAGTCCTGTGAGCAAAAATTCTACTTTGTGAGCTGCTGGCATTAAAGTTGTGAGCAAGCGATTTGGCTACTGCATATAAATTAGTTTGCTCTGGAGCCTTCCTTCCTGAGCGAAGACAAGAATGTGTGAGCTGGAGGTTAAAAAAATGTGAGCTAGCTCACACCAACTCAGCTTAGAGGGAACACTGGTCACTTTCACTGTTTCCATTTTGTTTCACAGCAAAGGATACTACTCACTATGCTTGCTGCACACCACAACAGAACAATCAATCGGATCCTGAAAACAACCTTGTTTCCGGGTGACAACTTATAGGAAAGGATGGTCTGAGCCAAGATGTAAAAGGTTCCTACTCCAAATGTGAGGCAAGCTCCAATTACATGCATCACAATCAGAGTGCTTTTCTGGAGGAAAAGACAAGAGCAGATTTCATAGCAGGTTAGACAGGGATATCTGACAAGCATGGTCACCATTTATAAATTGAGCCTTTGAACAGGAGACTCCCCAAGGAGAGTTTACATTGGTCAAAACTTTTATCTGATGGTAGGCAGTTTTCTCTATGAACCATTATAAGTTACTGGAAGATTTTTTTTCCCTGATAAAGTGTAAAATGGATAGTGAATGCTTGCATCTTTTTAAAGAGTCTATGCAGCCTTGCCCAAAACATGCAGCTTTACTGCAAAAGGCCACTGAGTAGCAAGTATTTGTGCTGCTGATATTTTGGGGAGCAAAATGTAATTTCCAACGAGAAATGTTAAAATGTGAGCTGAGTCAGAGATACACGCCATGATTGACTTGAAGCTAACTTACATACCTTGTACAAATAATCTGCAAACTGCATGTGAAAAAGAGAAAGAACCACTAATCCACAGAATGTACTTTTGCATACTGCATTTCAGCAAAGCACATGGTGGCATTTGGGACAGGATGCCAATTATTTTCCTCAAAATAAACATTAGTGGCCAATTGTCAAGACCCCCAGATGAAATCAAAGACCCAATTGGCATGCCCAGCGACAGCCTTATTAACTGCCCAGTTCAACTAGCATGGGTTTTTATACAAGAAACAAATTTTCTCTCCTCACTTAGTGCAGAAGTGGGATGGTCAGATCTTAAATGCTATACTGCCACCCAGTGCTCTTCATGCAAAGTTTCCATGGTAGTACATGATCACACACTGGTTGGGAATGTCAAAGAATGAAATGCATAACTGAGGATACTGTCCACAAATTGCCTGATCCATACCCACTCAGTAATAATATTTAAGCAAGTGTCTCAAAAAGTAGGAGCTTTTGCTCTAGCCAGTATGTTCTCAACGTGCATGTCAATGATTACCATTGTGTTTGATTTATTACTCTAAACTGTTCTTTTGGGGATGTAGAAGTACAACTTTCTTTTCTATATGTTAGCGTGTTTTCTTTGTACTGATTATGAGTGCATTTGCATGTCTGCAGTCTCTTTTTCAAGTTCACATTAGGTTGGATCCAAATAACCACAAGGGAAACTTTGTTTGTGGAAAAGGAGTTTGCTGCCGCCTCCTTCTACCACAGCCTCCCAAAAGTCATTCCTAAAGTTTGAGGACCTCTTAAGAACAGAATGGATACAACATGGCAGGTTGAAATGGGAAAAGAAAATTGACAGAACATGTTCCCCTTCCTTTCTTGTGAAGCAGAACTTCCTCCCATTCATGAAACAACTTTGGATCCAATTAATCCTTTTAATATTTTGCTTGAGTTATGCTTTACTTATGACTTGTAGCCAAAATAATACTATATCAACTGCTACCAAGAGGATTACTTTGTGCATCACACCCTTACAATTGCTGTGTGGTGAGCAAAGTCTGGCAATGAAGACTTATTGAGAGACAAGGGAAGAAGGATGTTTGTTCACTGGGAATAAAAAAAATGCTTTGATACAATATAAGAAAACAAAGTGCTTATTACTATGGAAACCAACCAATCTTCATCTTCTCTCGGGAAAAAGGTCTGTGACATGCTTATGATTAGCATACGTACCCCCCTGTAATTGCCAGAATATTATTATAAATGAAAGGCAAACCTGGAAGTTTGCAATGATGCAAAGCCCAAAGCAACTGACTGTTCCTAACACCAAGCCAGTCTTATTTAACTTGAGGATTGTAGATTCTTCAGGATTCGAATAAAAGACTTGCTTGTATCGGACATAAATGGTAGCAATGCCTGTAAACAAACAATCCAAATGAGGATGGAATATGAGCATCTGCTTTATGCTCCATAGAGAGCAGAAGCTAACTGCAGTTATTACTGTCACATAAAAGCAGCCATCAAGTACTCAGAATTCAGTTAAAGGAATGTAAAATGTAAAAATGAAAAAGGTATGAGATGGTGTATTTTTTAACTGTACTATTTTTAGTACTTATATTTTTTAATATTTTCCCATAATATAAGACTCAACAGGATTGTTCATGGCGTGGTTAATAATCAAGTAGATGCTGTTATCTGAATCTTCCAGTACTATCCTCAAGACCTACCAACAGTCAGAGCAGGGTTCTCAGTAGCTATTCTGTACCTATGGAATATTTTCTCCTTGGAGCTTCACCAAAGCCCAATTAATAACCACCCTTTAGAAGCCCATTTCCCCCCCCCCTGTACTTACCCAAAAGAGCAGAAATGTTTAACATTATCCCAAACAAGCATCTTTCAGGAGGTACTGTCCCTGTGTCACTGAAAGAAAAGCAATGTATAGTACTTTGATGCAAGTAAGTTTCTACTACTTGGCAAATCCAAAATTAAAAATTAGTTTGCAAATACATATACTGATTTCCAGAACAAGTACTGGTTGGAAACAAATATGGCCAATGAAAGGGAAGCAAGAAAAACAGGAAACATGCCCATGCAGCATGTGAGACATTAGTCTTTAGTTTTCCTGTTATTTCAAACCATGTCGAATTCCTTTGTTATGAGGGCTGGATCTGACATAAATGTCACTTTGTCGGGCTGGGCCGTGTGTGCCATAAAACATAATGCCGGGTACCGGAGATATAAACTTTATAAAGGACAGTAACTGGTAAGCTCTGAGTTGGTGTGCCTTACTGCAAGGCCCCAAGAGCTGGGAGGGGGGTGCAGAGGGAAAACCCACATGAGCAGACTAGACAGCCAGCAGTACAACGCTGGGCAGATGCTCCCATGCCCCAACAGAGGATTATCTGCACACACACTGTGCAAACACAGCATCCCTGAAGCTGCAGGCCGAATGGAAAGGTATGAATGCGGCTGCAATGGTTCCCACCTTACCAATTCCTTAAGTGAAGGGGTTCTGCTTGACTGCTGCAGATGAGGTTTTGTGTGGCCCTGCTGAAGCCACAATTGGAGTGGCTCTGCCCCCTCCCCCCGGAGCAGACTCCTGTTCCCTCCCTTGTACCAGTTGCTTGTGGGCTGCATAACAGCCCTGAATGAGCCGGTTCCATTCCCCAGGCCTTATGCTTGACACCCCTGGCTTAAAATATACAAATGGCAGCCTTAATGTTTATTTCATGAGAATGCAATTAATATTGAGGATCTAAAGTATATCACTATAGGACCAACACAAAAAATGTTGGCCCCTCCAGTGGATAATCCATATGGTATCTTGCCATGGAGGAAAAGGTGTAATTCAAAAACTGTTATAATCTCCACTTTTTAATGGTGCTTAAAGTCAGCTACCTGAGGAAGCTACCTCACTTTGCCTCATGGTAGGGTTGGCTCCAAATCACTGTGGAGGTTAGGAAAGTTTTAGCTGATCATGGATAACAACAAGGGTTTATATGCACCAGACCTCAGCACTAAACTGGAATGGTGAACTTCAGTCACTAATAAAAATAAGGAAAGGTGAAACTGAAATTGGCTTTTGACTATATGAAGGATATACCATGACCAATGGACAATCTAGCTCTGTATTGTCTATTCCTACTGGCAATGATTCTTCAGTATTTCAGGCAAAGATAACTCTAGGCAGCGCTTTTTAATAGAAAAAGCCAAGCAGGAACTCATTAGCATAATAGGCCACACCCAACAGCAGAAACTCATTAGCATATTATGCCACACCCTGACAGCATAAGTCATTAGCATATTAGGCCACACCCCACATGCCTTTCCTTGGCTTGCCTGGGTGCACCGCAGCTGTGGGGAGCCCGGGCAAGCCGGCCCTTGGAAAGGCCTGGGGAGGCATTTAAATGCCTCCCCGATCCTTCCAGGGGCCCCCCTGGCCCGCCCGCCTTGGAGTGGCCGGGGGTGTCACTCTCCAGGCCTTCCCTCTGTAGCCATGCACTCAGAAGTTTGGGCTGTAGTGGGCGTGGCCAACTCTGAAGCCAGCCAGAACTCTGTTCCTGTGCGTTCCTGCCCCAAAACAGCCCTGATAACAGGGACTAAACCCAAGAACTTCCTCTTACAAATCATGATCTCTTTTTTCAAATTCATCTATACTGCAAATGTAAAATCTACACTGGGTGTAAAATACATGTAATTGTCTTCCAAGATTATTCACATATGCCACAACCAGCATGAGGGAAGATCAAAGGTGCTTTTTTACTTTTGTGTGTGAAAACTAAGATGTGGCATGGAGATTCCTCTGAATGACTTTACTGACTTCCTCCCCTCTGTAAGGCTATGCAACTCATGCTGAACTTGTGATGGCTCCTTATTACAATGCAGGCATTTGGAGGAGACATTGGTGTTTGTGAAGACTGGATATTTTTAAGAATGTTCCCCAACCTTGCAAAAAGTTTCATTTAAAATTATTTATTTGTTACATGACATCTATATCCCACTTCCCTGACAATTGTCTCCTAAAGTGGTTTATACCAAGAGACATCTAGTGCTGTACAAGGAACTGCTACATTGCTTAGAACTCTCAACATATTTGCTCCAAACTGATGGTAAAGACACTATTTCAGAATTAGCAGTATGAGGACTGCCTATTACTGCTTATTGTTTCCTGCTGGGTAACCATCAAGTAAATAATCACAGATATGCTATACCTCACTATGCAAAATCCAAGCATATCTGACACAAGCAAGCTGTTTTCTTATTCAAATTTTCCCAACCCCCCCCCCCACATCAATGATTATTTCTACATTATATCCCACAGCTTTTCATTTGCATTTACATGACTTTTTTCAAAAATGGGGAGGCCCTCCTGGAAAGTTAACAGTGGGGGTACAGATAACTGTGCAGTAGTAGAAGACACACTGACCTGATGTAAGGCACCAAAGGGTCAACATGACGCAGGAGGACTGCAGTAACATATGAAAATATAAACGAAGCAGACGTCCAAACTACGAGGGCTGAAGGCAAGATACACAGCCCTTGCTGAAACCACCACATGTCAGATCCTAAGGCTGTGAGGAATGAATACAAATCAAGTCAGCTTTTCCTCCCCTTTTTTCACTCTAGGGAAGAAACGGTTCTTTCAGAGTGCACTCTCTTTGTTTCCTGAATTCAGCCACCCTCTTCACCCTGCTGTGCAGCTGGACAGGATTTACTTTCGTTTTTGCGCTGTGCTGCAATGCCAGCTTGAATGAGAAGACAGAAACGAGACTGAAGTTAGTTCCTTATTCGTGACTTATTCATGAATTCAAACAAAAACACTGAGGAGAGTTTGAAAGCTCTGAACTCCCAAATAAGGTCTGGACCATCACATGTCATACACTCCCATGTTCAGCGGACTCTCCCCTTCGAAGGGACATCTGCTGTTTCCTGGTCCAAAGCATGGTTCTTGTGGTAGCTGCTCCAAAGTGTGGTGCCCCCAGGACAATCACACAGGCAGATACTGGGGCCAGGCTGCACCCACAAAACAATTTTTGGACCACCCCAAATGACACATCCCTATGTTATGGAGACTGTCTTCTGCAAGAAGACATACAGCGGTGCCTGGTCCAAACACTGGTTCTGGTGCCACAAGCTTCTATTTGGAGTGCCTCCCAGAGGCCTGTATTTCAAAGAAGGTTTGAATAAGGAACTGTCCTCTGCACCCCAAAATAAGGTTTGGACCAACACACTTCATACACTCCCATGTTCAGCAGATTCTCCCTTTTGAGAGGACATATGCTGTTTCCTGATCCAAAGCATGGCTCTTGTGGCAGCTGCTCCAAAGTGTGGTGCCCCCAGGAAAATCACACAGGCCACAGGAAAATCACTGGAGCCAGGCTGCACCCACAAAATAATCCTTGGACCACTCCAAATGACACATCACCACACTCTGGAGACTGTCCCCTGCAAGTAGACATACAGTGGCTCCCGGTCCAAACTCTGGTTCTGGCACCATAAGCTTCTATTTGAGTTACCACCAAGAGGCCTGTATTTCAAAGGCAATTTGAATAAGGAACTGGTTTGATGGCTTGCCCTCTGCACCCCAGAATAAGGTCTGGACCGCCACATGTCAGGCCCAAAAGATACAATAACAGAACACCACTAATGGTCACATACAGCTCTCAACTCAAAACAGTTCAACGCATCAGCAGCGATTTACAATCTCTCCTGGATAATGACAATTCTCTTTGACAACTACTGGGGGGGGAACCTTTTCTAGTGCACAGACAGCCCCCCAATCTCAAACTCCTCACCCCCAATAATACAGCATCTAATTTAAATATGGACAGAGGTACCAGAGTTTGCAACAAACCCATATGCCAACTTTGCTGCCACATAGACAACACAATCACTGGACCTAACAACATCAACTACATCATCTCAGGCTCATTCACCTGCACATCTTCTAACATTGTATATGCCATTAAATGCCAATAATGCCCTTCGATTCTCCACATAGGACAAACCGGTCAAACCCTATGCCAAAGGATAATTGGACACAAATCTGGCATCGAGAATCACAAAACTGAGAAATCTGTAGGAGAACATTTCAACCTCCCCAGGCAGTCAATGGGAATATCAAAGCAGCTGTTTTATTTCAAAGGAATTTCAGAAACATACTGGAATGGGAAATTGCTGAATTGCAAGTTACTACAACACTCACGACAATGGAACAACTGGGGCTTAACAGAGATATCGGCTTTTTATCTCACTACACACACTAAGTCATTCGGTTCTTACTTATACCCAGAAATTAAACTTTCTTGGTCTTATAGAGGCCACTGGACTCAAACTTGGTTCTCACATCTGTTGTTAACTCCTTTATTATCTGTATGCCAACTTGCTGCTATTTGCATATCCTGCTATATGTGTTATTCCAATCTTAGCTATATTTATTGCTCAGTTACTTATGCATCTTGACTCTAATCAGCTCTTCCTGGCAACTAACCCCTCCCCCACCTGCATGTAATATTTGAGGAAATCTGTTTCAATGTACGTGAAGAACTGTGCACACGCTGAGTCTCTGTTCCTGCATGTACAGAGGGTTGAGCCTGGTTTGTCTTGGGGGTGCCACTAGACTCTAGCTTCATTCTCACATCTCCTTGTTAACTCTTGCATTTACATGCTAATTTGCTGCTATCCATTGATCTTACTGGCCACCTGATCCAATTTCAGCTCGGCATATGCATCTTGGCTCTGAGTGGCCCCTCCTAACGGCTGCCCCTCATCCTCTTTTTTCCTGTAAGTAGCCCTTGAGATTTTGTTCCAATATGTTTGAAGCACACGAAAGCTTACACTATGAATAAAACCTTGATGGTCTTAAAGGTGCCACTGGACTCAAACTTTGTTCTACCGCTTCAAACAAACATGGCTACCCATCTGAATTGATCTCAAACTGCGCTTTGGGCCAGGAAACAACATGTGTCCCCTTGAAGGGGAGAGTCCACTGAACAAGGGGTGTATGACATGTGGCAGTCCAGACCTTATTCTGGGGTACAGAGAACAATCAATCAAACTAGTTCCTTATTCAAATCGCCTTTGAAATGCACCAGAACCAGTGTTTGGACCAGGCACCACTGTATACCTTCTTCCAGGGGACAGTCTCCAGAGCATGGGGCTGTGTCATTTGGAGTGGTCCAAAGATTGTTTTGTGGGTGCAGCCTGGCCCCAATCTTGGCCTGTGTGATTGTCCTGGGGGCACCGCACTTCGGAGCAGATGCCTTATTTTGGGGTGCAGAGGGGGAAAAAATCAAAATAGAAGACTGTGGCTCTGAAACCAGTATTTGGACCGGGCACCATAGCATGTAATCTTTTGGGGATAGTATCCATTTGGGGTGTGTCATTTGGGGTGGTCCAAAGAGTGTTTTGGTGTGCATTGTGGCCCAAGTGTTATCCTGTGTGATTGTCCTAGAGGCACCCTACTTTGGAGCTGTTGTCACAAGAACCGTGCTTTGGACCAGGAAACAGGATATCTCCTCTTGAAGAGGAGAGTCCTGTGAACCTGGGAGTGTATGATGTGTGCTGGTCCAGATCTTATTTGGGAGTTGGAAGGACCTGGCGACCCTAGCCACTGTCCCTTTTGAAATGTTGATTGTATTCTCAGGGACAACTTCCTTCCTTCCATTCACTCTCTCCCAGATCTCTCTTCTCTCTGCATGTGCCAAGAGGGACGACACGCTGTCCTCTCTTGGCACCACGAAGCAGATTGCCCTCTTTCAATCTGCTTCCATCCTTAGCCAGTAAGCTTAGTACTCTATCCAATCTCTCCTCTTTCCTATATAGAGTGTACTTCTAAAATAGACAAGTATTTCTCTTTTGAACTGAAAACGTGACTCTCTGTAACTTTGTGGTACTCTGTGCTTTGTTACCCTGGTTGGATGCGCTCCTGCACTAGACACTTTATGCACTCTGCTAACTAGTCATTGGTTTCTGGACTAACTGTACCAGCTAACCCCAATAACAACATCCCTATGACTTGCCAGACAAAAGTTGACATCCGCTTAGAAAAGACAAAAGAGATTACACTTCCTGCATTGCCTCAGGGAGATGATTCTAAAGAATAGGAACTGCCAAAAAGAAAGCACAGGTTCTCACTGCCACCATTCTCACGAGTGAAATGACAGTAGCATCAGCAAATTTGCTGACCAGATCTTCCCCAGTAAGAGGGTTTATACAGGGTGAGGCAGTTTGATGATGGAATTCTGACTTGCAAAAGCTTGTGCTGAATAAATTTTGTTAGTCTTTAAGATGCCCCTGGACTCCTGTTTTATTTTCCTTCACATGTATAAATCCCAGGCCATAAAACCAGCACCCTGAATTGATCAGTGTAACTGATGTAGAGCATGTTGTATGTGAGCACACTGCCCATCCCCAAATAACAGATGGGCAACTCTGTTCTGCACCAGTTGCAGTTTCCAAGTTGTCTTCGAGGGCAACCCCAGATAGAGTACATTATAATAATTAAGAAGCTACATTTTAACAGAATTAAATGTATCCAGAAGCAAGGCTGGCTCCAGAAGGAATCTTCTACCTTTCATCAGATTAGACAGGGTAATTAATAACTCATGTTCTTCAGGCAAATCAGTCCCCTCCAGAACATCAACTTTCTCTGCCACAGATTGAACACATGAAGCTGCGTCACACAGACTATTTGTTTGTAACATCAGTTTTGTCTACTCTAATTGCCAGCAGCTCTCCAGAGTCTCAAATGAGGTCTTCCACATCACCTACTACATGATCCTTTCAATTGGAGATGTTAACAATGGACCCTAAGGAAGCAGGTGCTCTGAAGGTAAACCATGGCCTCTCCCCAGCATAATCTCTATCTTGACTGCATTCAGTTTCAGTTTGTTCATCCTCATCCACTACTACATCTTCCAAATAGATTCAGAATAGAACTGGCCAATCCCAGATATTTAGCTAAGTGAAATAATTCTAATACATTTTAATCCCACCCCTTCTTCAAGGAACTCTGGGTGGCATACATTGCTCTTCATTCCCCATTTTATCCTCACCAAAACCCTGTGAGGTAGGTTAGACTGAGAGACTGTGACTGGCCCAAGGTCACCCAGCGAGCTTCCATGACAGAGAACGCTTAAAGCCAGGTCTCTCAGATCTCAGTCTAGCACTCTAGCCACTACACTCCCTGTGGTGTGCCACCATGCACACCAAGGGGTAAAAGAAGTAGTGAAGGACGATAGGGAAATGGCTGAGAAGCTAAATGCATTTTTTGCCTCTGTCTTCACTGTGGAAAATGAGAAGTGCTTGCCCACTCCTGAACCACTGATTTCGGGAGCGGTGTCAAGAGACCTGAGTCAGATTGAGGTGACAAGAGAGGAGGTCCTATGACTGGTAGACAACTTAAAAACTGATAAATCACCAGGCCCGGATGGCATACATCCGAGAGTTCTGAAAGAACTCAGATGTGAACTTGTGGATCTCCTTACAAAAACATGTAATCTTTCATTAAAATCTGCCTCCATTCCTGAGGACTGGAAGGTAGCTAACGTCACTCCCATCTTTAAAAAGG